GTGTGAGAGAGAGAGAGAGAGAGAAATGCACGGGAAAGAAAAAGAAAAGGAAGGAAAAGAAAGGAAAAAGAAAAAGAAAAGAAAAGAAAAGAAAAATAAAAGAAAGTGACATGTGTAAAATATAACAGTCCAGAAATGCGTCCATACACACTTCTGGATTAAATAAATTACTGTGAATAATTTAAATACCTTGAAATTATTTAAACTTAATTAATTAAATCAGATTAGGCACACTAATAATCTCAATTACCTTAATTAATCTCAATTAATTCTTCAGGGTGTTACAAAAACATGTTTAAAAAAAACTGATTTTAAAGAAATAGCATGAGAATGCTATTAAGTTTTTCCAATGATTTTGGAAATGAGATTTCAAAGCGTATCAATTCTTAAAATGAAATATTTTAAGCAATGATACAATGCATGGTGGTCACAGAGATCGGGATGTGGGAATCACATCCTTGGGGGCAGGTCCCGAAACCCGTACGGATCCGCTTCTTGTTTAGTGGAATTATGGCTCTGTACTTTTCATTAGACAGATATTTTTACCGCTTCTTGTTTAGTGGTATGATGAGCTGCACACTTTCATTATACAGACATATTCTATTATGTGAGTATTTCCTTTTTTTTCAAAAAAAAAAGGGATGATTGGTTCCGGGTGTATATCTTCGGACCGTGAGTACCTTTATTTTAAATGCTTTATAAAATTATATCCTACTGGGCCTTTCGCTCACCTTTTCCTGTTTTCAAATGTATTAAACCCCTCCAGGTGACGCGAGGAGTAGTGCGGAGTAGGTAGCTACTACCGGTGACGTGGACTTGTTTCAGGAAAGCGAATAGTTGTATTTCCTCTTATCTTTTATTTCAAGGCATGTATAAGAGATTATGGATTGTAAACTTAAATATTACTAGACTGTGGTTGATGTCATATTTTCTTTTGTTTATGTTCATGTATGCTAAACACTTATGGAAATTCCTGACATGATACCAGGGATGTGATTTTAGACTGGTTTGGTTGGAAATTCTACCAGCGTTGTTGAAATTAAATTCCTCTTGAATGAAAAGGGGGCTCGTTTGGAAATACCTAGACGTTTTGGATTTGAAAGAAATTAAATTATTTGCAACGTTATTTGCTAATCACTCTCAAAAATAGGTTTAAGTTTCTAAACGAGCCTCCACGTCACTAACCCCAGTTTGGGGGCGTGACAAGACTTGGTATCAGAGCCCTTGGTTTAGAACCTTAGGGTTTGGAATTATGCTTACATGATTACAATCATCAAGAAATCACTAAAACAGTCTAGCTTTCTTTTCAGATAAAAGAATGCCGCCGCACCATAGAAACCCAAACCCACCGGCGATGCCGAATGAGCAATTCATGGAAGCCATGTACGCCGCTTTCCTGGGGATGGCTACTAGAGCCCAAAATGAACGTCCCGCGGAGGACAGAAAACATAACTACTTCTGTGAGTACATGCGTAGTTCAATTCCTGTATTCACTAACGCGGGTGGACCCGAAGAAGCTGAGTACTGGTTCGAATCGGTGTCTAAGCATCTAAGTACCATGGGAGTACCGGATGAGTATTGGGTGGAGTTCGCAGCTTTTAAGTTTGAAGGTCCTGCAGGTGCATGGTGGAAGCATATCCGGCGAATGCAAGATGTAGAGGGGATGACTTGGGAACAATTCGAAGCGCTATTTAATGAGCAATTCTTTTCCCAAAGTTATCGAGATGAAACGGCCATGGAATTCATGGGCCTACAACAAGGGGAAATGACAGTGAGGGAATACGAGGCTAGGTTCAATGAACTGTCCCGTTTTGCTCCCTCCTTGATTGAATCGGAGCGCATGAAGTGCCTAAAGTTCGAGAAAGGTCTTAAGGGTGTAATCCGTTTATTAGTGGTAGCTTTAAGGCATCGAGTTTACAGTGGCATGGTTGCAGCAACCATCTCTCTTGAACAATAGCACTTTGCCTTCCTCCAGGATCGAGCAGTTTCAGGGAAAACTTCAGGAGGACCTCAAAGGAATAACAGAAAAAGTCGTGATCAAGGGCAAGGTAGTGGGGGAGTGCCTAGTGGTAGCAGTGGCTCTTCGGGAAGTGGGAAGAATGGACCCTATAGCTTCAAGTGCCACCATTGTGGGGAGCTATGGCATATCAAGAGGAACTGTCCTATCAGGGGCCAAATGGTGAACCAACAGACCTAGCAATTACCACAAAGTCAAAGGGGTGTTGCTCCTAGTCAAGACAGACTTCCACAGTTCACGCCTTTCTATCAGCCCCAGTTGCCTGTCCAGATGCCAATTCCTCCTACACCAATCTTTCGTCCGCCGAACTACTCTTATTTCTGGCCATAGGCTTCCGTATCGATACAGTCTACCCAGCCGCAACAACAGTACAGACCTGGAAACCAGAAACCTAACAACAATGAGAGAGGAAAAGGGAAAGCACTGGGGCAGATGCATACCATGGCCGGGGGAAGTTCTGGAGCTCATGCCGGAAACCTAGTCGTCGAGGGTATGGTACCTATCTCTCACTCTTTTGCACGAGTTTTGTTCGACACTGGTGCTACGCACACTTTTGTTTCCGCTTCTTTTGTGAAAATTTTGGGTTTGAAACCCGATGACTTAGAGACTTTAATGTTTATAAGTTCTCCATTGGGACGTGTGGAGGTGACTAGTGCATGTAGGTCGTGTGTGATCACGATTGGAAGTGAGAAATTAAAGGCAGATTTGATAATCCTTCCCATGAATCAGTTTGATGTGGTGCTTGGAATGGATTGGTTGTCAACATATGGGGCGATTGTTGATTGCCACCGTATGAGAGTCACCTTGACTACCGGTTCTGGCACGACAGTAACGTATCAGGGAGGTGTTAACCCAGTTACAGAAGAACGACTACTGAGGCATAGTGTCGAAGGACGGCGGAATATAGCTTGTTTCTCATTCCTTTCGGCATTAGAGGGTGAATCTGGTATCGTCGGGGAGAATGTTGAGGTCCCCGTGGTCGATGAATATGCGGATGTATTCCCTGATGAGTTGCCTGGTTTACCGCCTGATCAGGAGATCGAGTTTTGTATCGACTTACTTCTGGAGACGGCTCTGATTTCTATTGCTCCGTATCGAATGGCGCTTGCGGAGATGAAAGAGCTAAGGAAACAGCTCAGAGAGTTGGCAGAAAAGGGATTCATTAGAAACATCACATCCCCGTAGGGTGCACCTGTCTTGTTTGCGAAAAGGCTCGACAGATCCATTCGGTTGTGCATAGACTACCGACAATTGAATAGGGTTACCGTGAAGAATAAGTACCCATTGCCGAGGATCGATGAGTTGTTCGATTAACTGGGAGGATCACGGTATTACTCAAAAATTGACTTGAGATCCGGGTATCATCAGTTGAAGATTAGGAAGATGATATACCAAAAACAGCTTTCAGAACTCGCTATGGGCATTATGTGTTCTTAGTAATGCCTTTTGGATTGGCGAATGCTCCCGCCGCTTTTATAGATTTGATGAATCGAGTCTTCCGCCCATATTTAGACCAGTTTGTGATAGTCTTCATTGATGACATCCTGGTTTATTCAAAGACTTGGGAAGAGCACGAGCAACATTTGAGGATCATTCTCCAGACTCTTCGAGAACACCAACTTTATGCAAAGAAGGAGAAATGTGATTTCTGGTTGACAGAAGTCAAGTTCCTTGGACATGTTATATCTGGACAAGGAATTTCAGTGGATCCCGCAAAGATTGAAACGGTGCTACAATGGGAACGACCGAAGAACGTTGCCGAAATTCGAAGCTTCCTAGGACTT